TCATTTATATGAATCTTGTTTTATGTCTTTTAATAATTTTTTATTTGTATTTTCTTCACCTTAATTTTCTTTTCTTTTTCTTTTTTTTTCTTTTTGAGACCGAGTCTTGCTCTGTTGCCAGGCTGAAGTGACCTCAGCTTATTGCAGCCTCTGCCTCCCAGGTTCAAGCAATTCTCCTGCCTCAGCCTCCCCAGTAGCTAGGGCTATAGGTGTGTGCCATGACACCTGGCTAATTTTTTGGTATTTTCAGTAGAGACAGGGTTTCACTATGTGGGGCAGGATGATCTTGATCGCCTGACCTTGTGATGCGCTTCCTGCCTTGGCCTCTCAAAGTGCTGGGATTACAGCCTTGAGCCACTGTGCCCAGCCACCTTTATTTTCTTATTATTAAATTTGTTCTAAATATGTTATTGGTAGGATCACTGCTACTGAGGATGGAATTTTTTTTTTTTTTTTTGAGATGGAGTCTTGAACTGCTGCCCAGGCAGATGTGCAGTGGTGCAATCTTGGCTCACTGAAACCTCTGCCTTTTTGGTTCAAGCGATTCTCCTGCCTCAGTCTCCTGGGTAGCTAGGATTACAGGCGCCCACCACCATGCCTTGCTAATTTTTTGTATTTTTAGCAGAGACAGTGTTTCACTATGTTGGTCAGTCTGGTCTCAAACTCCTGACCTCATGATCTGCCTGCCTCAGCTCCTAAAGTGCTGGGATCACAGACATGAGCCACAGTGCCTGGCCCTAGGTGCTTATTTCTAAAGCAAGGAAGATATTTATTTTGTGTGTATTTCTTATGGAGGCAGCTATCTCAGACCTATTCTCCTATTAATTCCAGCAGTTTTTGTTAGAGACGGGTTTTTCTAGATACCGTATCATGTCATCAGCAAAAAGACATAGCTCTATCTCTTCCAGTATTTGTGCTAGTTTTCTTATTTTATTTGATAAATACTCTAATGCAATGTTAAAAACTAATATGATGACAAGTTTCTGATTTTATTTGAAATGGTTTTATTGTTAAACTACTTAGAGTACCATTTGCTATTTATTTATTTTGTAAACAGTCTTTCTTAGAAGTAATATCTTAGTCTGCTTGGACTGCTATTACAGAAGACCATAGACTGAGTGACTTATAAACAACAGGAATTTATTTCTCACAGTTCTAAAGTCTGGGAAGTCTAAGATCAAGGTTTGAGCAGATGGTTCCCAAAGACCATCTTCTGGGTGTGTCATTATATGGTAGAAGGAAGGGACAGGGAGCTCTCTGGGGCCTCTTTTATAAGGGTAGTAATCCCACCCACGAAGGCGCCACCCTCATGACCTCATCACCTCCCAAAGGCCTCACCTTCAAATACCATCACATTGGGAGTTAGGATTTAACATATGAATTTTGTGGGGATGAAACATTGAGTCTATAGCAAGTAATCTTCTATTCCTATGTTACTTAGAGTTTTTAGTTATATGAATTAGAACAACAGTTGGCAAACAGTAAGTGCTCTTTAACTACTTGTTAAACAGATAATGATGTACTGGAAATGACTGCTGAAGTTTATTAAAGTCTTTTTCACTGACTATTGACATGATCATATAGTTTTTCCTCTTGAATTTGATGTTATAGGTTATGTTAATATGCTTTCTGGTATTGGAACACCCTTCTATTCCTGGGAAAAACTTGGTTGGTTATATATATTTTAAAAAATTCATCACTAGTTCTATTTGTCAATATTTTATTTAGAAGATTTGTACCTACAGTGATAAATTATAGTTTTCTTTTTTGTACTTAATAAATCATGGTTTAAAGTTCTACTTGTGTTATTAAATGAATTAAGGAACATTCATCTTTTTCCTCAGTCTGAAGCATTTCCCCGTTGTTGGGAACTGCTAACTGTTCATGGGGTGGGTGCCCAGAAGTCAAGTCTTTCTACCACATGACACTCCCTGGCCCCTGGTCAAAGCCAAATGATCAAATGATCCTGTCAAAATTTGGAATTTTGAACTGAGTAACACAACTGAAAGTTGACAGAACTGAATCACGTTAAGGGTGGTGGTTTAGAGGGCATCTCTCCATCTTTTTTGCAGTGCTCAGAAATGCGCTGGTTCCTAACCTTCCACAGACTAGGCTAACCAGTTCCTCCTCAAATTCCTGAAGACTCCAGAATCCTTCCAACAACAACAATAATAGTAATCATTTTAACTTAGAAAGCAATTCTGGTGAGCTAGTTACTTACAAATTGCAGAGCCTTTATCACAAAATTATGTGTAGAATAGTTTCTTATCCCAAAACTATGTAGAGAATCACCTTTATGTGAACATATTAACAGTTTTGCTTTTACTTTAAAACAAAGTTTACTTTGATTAGAATATGGGGTAATTAAAAAGTGAAAAAAGAAACTACTTTCTTGAAATTATATGACGTGTAACATGTACAGCAGGAACCCAACTTACTTTGTTACTGCTCTGGACTGAACATTTGTGTTTCCCCACAAATGAATATGTTGAAGCCCTAACCCCCAAAGTGACTGTACTTGGAGATGGGACCGTTTAAGAACTAATAAGTTTAAATGAGGTCATGGGGTGGGGCCCTGATCTGATAGGATTAGCGTTCTTAAAAGAAGAGACCTCAGAGAGCTCACTCTCCTCAAGCACATAAGAAGAGGTCTTGGGAGCATACAGGGCGATGGTGGCTGCCTACAAGTCAAGAGAAGAGGCCTCAGAAGGAAACATACCTTGCTCACACCTTGATCTTGGACTTCCCAGCCTCCAGAACTATAAGAAAATTAATTTCTGTTGGTTAAGCCATCCAGTCTATGGTATTTTGTTGTCAGCCAGAGAAGATTCATATGGTTCCCCAAATGGCTAACTAGTTGTCCTAATAATATTTGTTGAATAATCCATCATTACTCAACTGTTTTTGAAATGCCAGCTTTATGATATGCTAAATTTCAATAAAGTGTCAAGTCTGTTTTTGAGTTTTCAATTTCATCTCACTGATTTATGAGTATATTTTGGCACTAGCTTTATCTTATTTTGATTATTTTGCCTCTATAATACACTATCTGTAGGGCAAGTCTGCCTTCATTATTGTTGGAAAACATTATTGGCCATTCTGGAACACTTGCCATACCAGCTAAACTTTATAATCATTTAGTTCAGTAAAAAGAAAAGTTGAATTTATTTTTTTTTTTGAGATGGAGTCTTGCTCTGTCACCCAGGTTGGAGTGCAGTGGTGTAATCTCGGTTCACTGCAACTTCTGCCTCCCTGGTTCAAGGGATTCTCTTGCCTCAGCCTCCTGAGTAGCTGGGATTGCAGGCGCACGCCACCATGCCCAGCTAATTTTTGTATTTTTAGTAGAGACAGGATTCGCCATGTTGGCCAGGTTGTTCTCAAACTCCTGAGCTCAGGTGCTCCGCCCACCTCAGCCTCCTAAAGTGCTGGGATTACAGGCATCAGCCACCACATCCGGCCAAAAAAGTTGAAATTTTGATTGGGATGCACCATGGTTTATGTGAGTTGGAGGAGAAGTGACATACTTAGAATGTTCTATTCCAACTCATGAATATATTATATCACTATTCTTACATTCAAATAAAAAATTTGGAGTTTTATTTATAATTTCCTGCATAATTCGTGTTGTTTATTCTTAGCTATATTTTTCTGACATTTTATTATGAAAAAAATATACACATACAGGAAATTGAAATAATCTAATAGCAGAGCATCTCTATACCACTACTTAGATTCTACCATTAACATTGTATTGTATTTCATGCTGTATTTTTGTTGAGTAGCAGATAGGAATATAGACTGCCTGTATTCACCACTTGTAAGCTATGTGATCTTCGGCAAGTTATTCAACTTCTCCAAACCTCAGTTTTCTTATCTGTAAAGTGGGAATAATAGTACTTACTTCAAGTGGTTGCTATAATGACAACATCAGTTAAAACACAAAATGCACTTAGGACAGAGCCTCATATTCTGTAACTAAGATATGCTAGTGTATTCATCAGCTTGGGCTGCTGTAAGAAAATACCATTGACTGGGGGGCTTAAACTACGGAAATTTATTTTCTCAGTGTGGAGACTCGAAGTCCTACATAAGGTCCAGTTGGGTTAGTTTCTGACTAGGACTATATTCCTGGCTTGCAGACAGAAGCCTTCTCCCTAAGTCCTCACATGGCCTCTCGTTAGTGCCTGCAGCGCCTGGAGAGGGTGAGAGGGAAAGAAAAGGAGAAAGGGAGAGGGAGGAGGATAGCAAACTCTCTAATATCTCTTCTTATGAGGACACTGATCCTCTCAGAGCAGGATCCCACCTTTATTTATGCTTTATATAACCTTAATTACTTCCACAAAGGCCCCATCTCTAAATAGCCTCCAAATACATTGGGGATTAGGGCTTCAAGTTAAATTTGGGAGAACACAAACATTCTCGGTTCATAACAGCCAGCAAACAGTATAATTGTATTCTATTTCCTAAGTAGTCGTATTTGTAAACTATTGATGTAGAAATGTATTTGGAGTTAAGTACTCCTATTTTGTTGGAGGGAGAGAACTCAGCAATAAAACAGCATTACAGTATAATTGCTGTTGTGGAAAATGTATAACAATGTATGAAAAACATTGTGTGTGTGTAGGAAAGGCTGTACACCAACTGTTAGTAAGGTTACTGCTGCTTGCTGAAATTATAGGTAATAATTTTTTTGTTTTTGTTAATTTTCTGGCATTTCAGAAATACAAGGTAAGCAATAAACGTGAGAACTTTTATTGAATACTAGAACAGAAAACTGACTGTGGTATTCTTTTAATAATATACTGGAATCCATTAAACTTTCTGCTGAGAATAAATAACTGCTACATACAAACTATTCAGGCAAAGTGCTATGGATTATTTTACACCAGGGTCATTTCACCCAAAAAGTGATGCCGATGGCACTCTTTTGTCAGTGTTTCAAAGGCTCACCCTAAATGTTCACGTGCATATTTCCGGCAGAGGAGAGATGGCTGCTCATCAGAGTCTGCGGCCCAAGAACGCAGGCTCCGTCTCCTCCCGCCAGGCTGATGGTGCTCTCCGGGATCGGATCCTGGGAGCCCTTGAATGCAGCGAACCCCGCGCACACCGGTAGGGGCGTCTGAGCTCGCGGAGCGGCTCCCGGGGAGGACGACGGGAACTTTGCTCGGCAGTCGCCGCGCAGGCGCTCTGGGTCCCGTCTGTTTGCCGTGGCGCTACGTGGGAGCGTCGCCGCGCAGTGCTCCGACCCGCCGGCAGCGGCGGAAAGAAGGGGGCGTGGCGGCCCAGCGGGAGAGGGTGAGCGGGTGGCTGTCCCGGGCTTTGCGGAGCTGGGCAAGCGGGGAGGCGCGAGTTGCGCCCGCGAACACCCTGTTGCGCGCGGTGCTCTCACAGCCCTGGCGTCGGGCTCAGACAAAGGCTGGGAGGGCAGGACTGGGCGGGTCCAGCTCTGTGGGGAAGACTAGCCTCTCATTTGGGGAGGAGGAGACGAGGTCTAACGGCTTCGTGGTTGCTACAGCCAACAAGTGATGGGATTCCAAATCCCCGACTACTTTACACATAATTACTGGCTAAAACAAAGAATTGGATTGTATTCATCTCTTTGTGCTTCCTGACACCTGCGTGGTGCTTTCAACCTTGTGAGCTGTGTCTGCCCACTGCCTCCGTGTATCTTTTGTAAATATTTTACAGAGATCCGTATTTGTTCTAGCGTTCTACACTTTGACTGCGCCTTCTTGGTCCTTTGCTGATTCTTATGTCTTCTGCCTGGCATCTGCAGGGGCTGCTGAGAGTAAATACTTGGCACCTCCAGCTGCCGGCTGAGGAGACAGATGGAGCTCAAGTTGGGAGATGCGCCTTAAGAACCATTGACAGAAACAAGTCCAAATCTCGGATGTTGATACTGTATGTTCCCTGGGTTCCTGAGAGAGGACATTGAGGAGTAGGAGTCGGTGATTAAAGGAGAAGCCTCCCGTCAGAGGTTCCAGCAGTTTCCTCATCAGAGGTGGACAAGCCCTATGGGCTAAGACAGAGGGTCCTCAGAAAGGAGTGCAGACGTCGTCATGCTGCAGCAGCTCCTGATCACCCTGCCCACTGAGGCCAGCACCTGGGTGAAGTTGCAGCATCCAAAGAAGGTCACAGAGGGGGTGGCCCTGTGGGAGGATGTGGCTAAAATGTTTAAAGGAGGTGAGAATAGACTGATGGGAGAGAGGGAGGAAAAGCAATCCCCTTTAGTGTGAGATGGAATGAGACACTAGAGTGGAAGCGTCTCTTAGGGAGGCAAGTGGGTGGAAGGTTTCTGCAGTTCTTGATTGTGACTTTTGGTCTGGGGTTTTCCTAAGTAGCAGTAGTGTCCAGTTCAGCCTAGGACCAGTATTTCAGAGTCATGGTTATGTATATTATTTCATTTCATCCTCCACATGGCCATGTGGGGCAGGATGGACTTAACCTGATTTTTCTTATTCTAACAGTGGGGAAATGTAAATCAAATGGGAGACTTACCCAGGGTCACACAGGAACTTAGTGACTAGGTCAGGAGAAGCAGCCAGGGAAGTACCAGGTGGGCCTAGAGTATCTTGTGCTAGAAAGCAAGGAAGAGTTTAAAGACTAATGGATATGTGTCAAAAGGAGCCACGTTTAAGGGTCTCTTGCTGGACAAATTTGGGAAAGCTTAGGTATCCAAACTGATTGTGACACCTTGAATAAGTAAAATTCCACATGATCACGTTGACACTTAAAATAGAGAAAGATTGGGGGGGTGGAATTCATTTGAAAACATTGGAGGTGATTAATTCACTGAATGCTTACTTTGAAAAATAGGTTATTATAGGAATGAATGATGCATTTGCTTTGCCTTTTAGCTCATCTTTGGTTGGTGAGGGAAAGCTTTTTACAGAAAATGCCTGCCAATAATAAATGTAGAAAGAGGCCAGGTGTGGTGGCTCATGCTTATAATCCCAGCACTTTGTGAGGCTGAGGCAGGCAGATTGCTTGAGGTCAAGAGTTTGAGGCCAGGAGTTTGAGACCAGCCTAGCCAATATGACGAAACCCCATCTCTACTAAAAATACAAAAATTAGCTGGGCGTGGTGTCACATGCCTGTAACACCAGCTACTCAGGAGGCTGAGGCACGAGAATCACTTGAACCAGGAAAGCGGAGGTTTCAGTGAGCTGAAATCATGCCACTGCACTCCAGGCTGGGTGATAGAGCAAGACCTTGTCTCAAAAAGAAAGAAAGAAAGAATGATAGAATCTTTTACTGTAAATAAAATAATTGAAAGGTTAATGGGGAACAGATACTCACATGATAGAAAGTATTATCCCCTCAAGTTACTAAATGGCAAAGAAAGAACATAATTTTCCTTGAGGTCTGGTGGTCACAGTTTTTTTTTTTATTATTGTATTTTAGGTTTTGGGGTGCAGAACATGCAAGATAGTTGCAGAACATGTGCAGAACATGCAAGATAGTTGCATAGGTACACACTGTTATTTGCTGCCTTCCTTCCCTTCACCCACATCTGGCATTTCTCCCCATGCTGTCCCTCCCCAGCTCCTCCCTCCCACTGTCCCTCCCCTATTCCCCCCAATGGACCCCAGTGTGTAGTGCTCCCCACCGTGTCCATGTGTTCTCATTGTTCATCACCTGCCTATGAGTGAGAACATGCGGTATTTCATTTTCTGTTCTTGTGTCAGTTTGCTGAGAATGATGTTCTCCAGATTCATCCATGTCCCTACAAAGGACACAAACTCATCGTTTTTGATTGCTGCATAATATTCCATGGTGTATATGTGTGGTGGTCACAGTTTTAACCAAATGTCTCAGTAATGGAGTAGCCAGCCATTTTATATTTTATGGATACTGTATTATAAAGCATCTGGTATCACCTACAAGGTATTCCTACCAAAAATGTTTAATGTGATTTTAAATTAAGTTTAAAGACTGAACTGCTAGTTTACAGAAAATACAGGGGTTAGAGAAATAAGATAAACCCCACCTTGAGGATACAGTCAGGCTGTTCTTATATCTTAAAAAGACAATGTCATGAAGAGAGGGGAAGTACTTATACTAGAGTGAAAGAAACCAGAGCTAACAACCACTTCGAATGTGTGAGCCTTGATTAACTCCTGGTTTGGAAAAAATCCAGAATAGAAGTTGAGGAAACAGTTGAGGAAATCTGAATATAGACTGAATATTTAGATGTTACTATGGAATTGTTGTTAATTTTCATAGCTGTGATAAATGGTATTGTGGATATACAAGAGAAGATCCTTATTTGAAATATTTAGGGGTAAAGTATGATGCAAACAACTTTGAAATGCTTCAGAAAAAATAGGTAAAGCAAACGTGGTAAATGTTAACAATTGTTGGATATAGATGATGGATGGATGGATGGGTGTTCAATATTCATGATAAAAAGTTGGAATAGGCTGGGCGTGGTGGCTCATATCTGTAATCCCAGCACTTTGGGAGGCCGAGGCGGGCGGATCATGAGGTCCGGAGATTAAGACCATCCTGGCCAACGTGGTGAAACCCCGTCTCTACTAAAATACAAGAAAAAAAAATTAGCCAGGCATAGTGATGCGTGCCTGTAGTCCCAGCTACTTGGGAGGCTGAGACAGGGGAATCGCTTGAACCAGAGGCAGAGGTTCAGTGAGCCGACATCAAGCCACTGCACTGTAGCCTGGTGACAGAACAAGACTCCGTCTCAAAAAAAAAAAGTTGGAATAAAATACAAGGACAGTTATTCATGCACAGTAATTTCTAGTGCATATATATATATATATAGAGAGAGAGAGAGAGAGAGAGAGACAGAGTCTTACTCTGTCACCCAGGCTGGAGTGCAGTGGCTCAATCTTGGTTCACTGAACCTCTGCCTCCCAGTTCAAGCAATTCCCCTGCCTCAGCCTCCAGAGTAGCTGGGACTACAGGCACGAACCACTATGCCTGGCTAATTTTTTTTTTTTTTTTTTTTGTATTTTAGTAGAGATGGGGTTTCACCATGTTGGCCAGGATGGTCTTGAACTCTTGATCTCAAGTGATCTGCCTGCCTCAGCCTCCCAAAGTGCTGGGATTACAGGTATGAACCACCACACCCGGCCTCTAGTGCATATTTTTAATACCTCAAATTCAGCCAGTATTACTTAAATTCTAGAAAGCTGGCAATATGTTATGTGTAGCACTTTAGCAGATGGAAAAAAAACAACAAGAAGATACAGTTTCTACCCATACACTCATTAATAATTGAGAGAGATAATTATACAAGTAAATAAAGTAGAAAGCAGCCTGAGATAGATACTAGAATAGACATAAAAACCAAGCTTTTGGGAAGCATAGAAGAGAAGAAACTTTCTTCTCGTTAAGGGTGTCTGCGAAAACTTTACTTGAACTGAGCCTGAAGGATATCTCAGTTTTTCACCAAATAGGATTTAGGTTGGGTACTATCCAGATGTGTTCAAAGAATGGTACTAGGATTGTGTGAGTAGGTGTGTCCAGTGGATGAAGGATAGTGTTTAGAGAAGAAGATAATACTTGGAGAAGCCTTAGACTGGTTGCGGAGGATCTTGAAATCTATGTTGATTAGCCGGACATGGTGGCACATGCCTGTAATTCCAGCTACTCAGGAGGCTGAGGCACAAGAATTGCCTGAACCTGGGAGGTGGAAGTTGCTGTGAGCCAAGATCATGCCACTGCCCTCCAGCCTGGGTGACAGAGCAAGACTCTGTCTCAAAATAATAATAATTTAAAAATAATGTAAAAAAAAAAGAAATCTGTGTTGGAGTATTTGTATTTTTCTTTCTTGTCAGTGGGGAAATTTTTGGGGATTTTTTAAACGAAAGATTGGCCTGAGGGATCTCTTTAAGACCATTGGGAAATATTAATGCTGAAAGCAGCTTGCAGCATGTCCTCCTCATTATGGAGGCTTTGGGCTGCTCTTGAGTCGCTCTAAATACTCCTCTTTGTGAATGTTTTCGGGGAGGAGCCACAGTGAGTGGGTCTGCAGGCAGTTTCTCTATTTGGGTGATTTGGGGAGATGCAAACATCATGGTTCTTTTCCTTCCCCAGCTCTGCTACCTCAGGATCCTCCCCATGGAGAAAATTTAGAGAGTAGAGTGACCCTTGGATCCCCAGCAGCAGAATCCCAGGTGGGTTGGTGTTTCTGGTCACTTTTTTGACATTGTTTCTCAGATTTTAGGAGCACTGGACTTTGATTTTGTTTGGCTCAACTTCCTGGATTGATTTTTCTTAGCCTGTTCTTCAGAAAACCAGGCCATGTCAGTTGATTTCACAGGTAATTTCTCCATCAGTAGTAACCTCCACAGGAAACCTCTTGTTTTTGCAAACCTCTAGCCATTTGTCCAACAAATATATTGTGCTGAGGCCACAAGTGTGTGTGTGAGAGAAAGTGATAGAGAGGAGAAGTATGTAACAGTCCTTGCCCATGAAACGCGTATATCATTGGGGAGAAAGACAAACGTGAGTCATTTTAAGCAACATTTAAAAGTCAACAGAATCATTTTCTGATATTTTTGGAGATGTATACACTTCATTGATGACCTCTAAATGAGGATTTTTGGTCAAGTCCTAGAGCAGAACTGTAGCTGAAAAAAGAAATGAGTGAAAAGATACTGGCAGGTCATGAAGAACACGAGCTAAATAGGCTAAGCAGAAAAGGAAGGAAAACTTCTAGGAGCAGTTTAACCGTGTGCCATGTATCCTAAATGAAGTAATCAGAAAACTGATAGCACTGGCAAAGCTCTGCACTACCAAACCCCAGGGGGACAGGGAAACTCAAGACAATTAGAGTAGTCAGAGAAACAGAAGAGGGTATCATTAGAGAACAGAAGAGTTTTGCAGTGGATTGATCTTGGCCTCCAAAATCACATGGTTTTTTTTTTTTTTGAGACGGAGTTTCGCTCTTGTTCCCCAGGCTGGAGTGCAATGGCGCGATCTTGGCTCACTGCAACCTCTGCCTCCTGGGTTCAAGCAATTCTCCCGCCTCAGCCTCCTGAGTAGCTGGGATTACAGGCACACGCCACCATGCCCAGCTAATTTTTTTATTTTTATTTTTTAGTAGAGACGGGGTTTCACCTTGTGGACCAGGATGGTCTCAATCTCTTGACCTCGTGATCCACCCACCTCGGCCTCCCAAAGTGCTGGGATTACAGGCTTGAGCCACTGCAACCAGCCGTAAATTCACCTTTCTTATAGATTAAATGTGGATGCTAACATCAGCCTAATAGGCCTGAAATGCATTTCAGAATTATTTACAATATAAAAAAAGCATTAAGATATTCTCTATACTTAGGGGATTTGTTGTTATTTCAGCTTTCCAGCTTCTGAATTCTCTTAGCGTTTGAGAGTATTTTTAAAAAATAATTGTCAAATCGTTATTTATTGTAGCTCATATATAATAGGCCCTTATACTTCATACCCCAGAATGTCTATCTCTGTCCAGATGTCTTCATTTCTTGCTCCCTCCAAAAATATGCTGTTCTCTCATACTTTTATTAGCAACAGAAAAACCTAATTAAGGTTATTTCTCCCATGCTAAAGTATTCTAATTCTTTCAGCCCAACAAAGTCCCTGTCTTCTCTTGTGGCTTTAGCCCCTTCTGAACTCCCTACTTCCCCAAATACTCCTCAACTTTATTGTCTTTAGTCAAAATTACTGTATACTGTACTGTGACCGTCTTTATTATTTCATAAACATTTTCCCTACAGCCAGATTGTAAGTTGCAGAGGTAGCTTACATGTTTTTTGCATTGTTTTATAACCTCCATTATGTGTAATCTATAATCATTAGAATAAATTAAATGATTAGCAAGAGAGTAGGAAAATGTGACTAGAATCTCTTAGCATCTAGACAAGGTCATAACAACTTCCTGAAGTCTGGCTGAAAAGGAACATATTTGATGCTCTAGGAACTGTTAACCTTCAAAGACGTATCTGTTGACTTCACTCAAGAGGAGTGGGGGCAGCTGGCCCCTGCTCACCGGAATCTGTACCGGGAGGTGATGCTGGAGAACTATGGGAACCTGGTCTCAGTGGGTAAGGATGGTCTCCTCTTGAAAATAGAATCTACCTGTTAGATGAAAACCTTTGTTTCTAAATTAAGTGCTTTGTTTGGGCTTTGGGTTCTGTATTAGAGGTTTCTGTTTCCTTCTGAACACCATGTCAGACAGGATTGCTATGCTCTTCTGCTCTGTTCTTTCTACTCTACTCTGCTTTTTTTAGAAAGCCTGAATACCAAAGAACCATATTTAAATTCTTGAGATGGCTCTGTGACCTCAGCACATACAGTCTTTTCTTCCCCATAAGCAGGATATCAGCTTTCCAAACCTGGCCTGATTTCTCAGTTGGAGAAAGGAGAAGAACCATGGTTGATGGAGAGAGAGATTTCAGGAGTTCCAAGTTCAGGTAAGTGGGGCCTTTGTGATGTTAGCCAGAGAATTCCCCTCAAGGCCTCCTCCAAGCTGTGGGGAAGACTGAAGCCATGTGGATGGTACATTCAAGAAAATTGTTTCTGTTATCTCTGTCACCCTTTCCCCACATTTGCATCTTCTTATTAGTCTCTCTTGAGTTAGAGGAAAAGAGATGCCTTTCTCATCAGGGTTAACCTTTATCGTGTCTTTTGATCTGACTTTCATGATTTTTACCTCTTTCTCCAATATTCTAAACCTTGCTCTGATCATAGTTTCTTTCCCATGTACATTTAGATTTACACAGGTCTGTCCTCATTAAACACAGTCCACTTCACTGGACTTGCATATCATTTTCTCATTGGTTTCACTTTCTCTCAATGTTTCCTATTCAATATTTTTCTAAGCCTTATTCTGTGATCACAGTTTCAATTGTAACTCTCATTTTAACTTGTGTAATTTAGCTTTTTATGCCAGATAATTTATGACTGAGAAATCAACCACAGACTTTGTTTGTAGAAGATCCAGTGGCTTTTAACAGTCTTCTTTAACATTTAAGTATACTAATAATGATATTTACCTGGGTTCTCTGTGAATGACAGCTGGGTTCTCTGTAAGTCCTACATTAGCTCTGTTTTACAAATGAGGAAAAGGAGGCTGATTAAGAAATGTATACAGGACAATTAGCTACTACTTGGTAGACTCAATATCTTAATTCTAATCATGCTAACTCCACAGTTTGTATGTTCTTAGGCACTATTTTTCACAGCTGCATTAGATTATACATATAGACCTCACCACCTTAATATTCTTTCCTCTGTCAACTAGTTCAATAATTTTTGCCTCCTCTGTCTCTTATTGTTTTTTCAGTGTTTCTCATCAGTGTCTTTTTTAATGCAGGTACATGATTTCTGCCTAGGTTAGGATAAGCTAAACTACTGTAATAAATAGACTACAAAATTTCACAACAGATTTTGAACTACAAGTTATCTCAAACAGAATGTGAACGTATTCCTTGATCATATTCTGATCTGGAGAAATTTTTTTTTTCTTTATTGAGACAGTCTTGCTCTTTCACCCAGGGTGGAGTACAGTGGCACAGTCTTGGCTCACTGCAACCTCCACCTCCCAGGTTTAAGTGATTCTCCCACCTCAGCCTCCTGAGTAGCTGAGATTACAGGTGTGAGCCACTGCACCTGGCTAATCTTTTTTGTAGTTTTAGTAGAGACAGGGTTTCATCATGTTGGCCAGGTTGGTCTTGAACTCTTGGCCTCAAGTGATTTGCCCACCTCAGCCTCCTAAAGTGCTACAATTACAGGCATGAGCCACTACACTGGGCCCTGGAACTGTCACTGGACAGTTGTTCTTCATCTGGTGATTCAGGACCAAGGTTTCTTCTACCTTGCGGCTTCTCTATCCCCTAGGGTTTCCTCATCATCTGCATTTAGACAACATAGAATAAGCACACAAAGGAGTTCATTTGGGAGGTTTTTATGGGCCAGTCTAGGGTGGTTCACCTCACTTTCGTTCTCTTAACAGGAGAGACCTTTGTGACTTCATTCAATCTAATTCAAGGGAGATTGGGAAATAGCATCTATTTGCATGTCCCAAAATGGGGAGAACAGAGTTTAGGGAGTAACCAGCAGTCTGCCACAGTCCCCAGGTTTCTGAGGAACCTCTGTCTTTTTTACACTACTGCTCTATTTCTGTACAGATTCCCACAGATGTTTTGTGATGGTTTCAACTATTCCTTCCATGCCCATATTCTCCATATTTTCATCTTTGTATGAAATATAACCCTATTCCTATGTATCTCTGGCATTTATGACATCTCCACATAGAAGCACTGTACTTCAAACCCAGTACATCCAAAAACAGAAGACCTCTCATCTAAACAAGTTTCTCATCCTAACCTCCTCTGTTCTTTTAGTCTCTATAAATTATGGTCTCAGCAAGAACATTAAGCATGTTTTCTACTCTGTTTTTCCCTGGTTCCCCACAGCTTCTTCCTTAGTATTACCTGTTAGATCCACTTCTACTGTTCACCTATGTTGAGGCAACACTAAGGCAAGTTTTCATCATTTTATGCCTGAGTTACTAAACTTTCCAGTTGCATTTGCTAATGTCTTATTTTCTTTGTCTGAATCTTCTTGAATGTTACTGCCAGATTTGACCACTTGAAATACCACATTTATCTTGCTGTTACCTAAAAAGAAAAATTAAACATCTCCCTGTTCCCTGTAATCAGTAATCTAAACATCTGTTTGCTTTTTTAAGCTGATTCCAAAATTTATTCACCTATTTCTGAGCACTTTTTATGTGCTGTTACTAAAGTGAGATTAGAAATCCTAAGGATTAAGATTTTTTTGTGAACAGGAAGTATTGGTGCTTTAGGTTGGCAGAGCCCAAAATGGGGGGATAGGAATAGTAAGGGTAAATATCAGCGAAACTCCTTCATCCAAAAATTTTATCCCAGGTGTACTATGAATAAAATATATATTCTCTATCCTTAAAGATTTTACAAGGTAATTAACATTTTGTCACAAATTGAGAAGCCATTTTCTGCTTCCTATATGGGCAAAAACTGTGAAGATTGATCAAATCCAGTGAGTATGCAGGGAAAGGCACCCATATTTGCTGAGCGTGCATATATCCATAACTGATCAATTTCTCTTTAGTAAAACCAATGAAATAATGATAGAAGTGTACAGCATTTATGTATAATGATGCACTGTGGTATGATTTTAGAATAGTGAAAAATGGGAGACAACTGAAATGTTTTTCAGTAGGGACAAGTCAAATTATGTTATGTCCATACAGTAGAATGCAATGCAGTTATAGAAAAAATGAGATAGCCTAGCTGGGGCTTACTCAGTCTTCCCAGCAACTCAGAAGTTTCAGGCAGGAGAATCACTTGAGTTGAGGAGTTGGAGACCAGCCTGAGCAACATAGCCTGATCCCATCTCTAAGACGTAGTCATAACAATTTTAAAACTTTTTAAATAAAGAATGAGATAAAATTCAATGAACAGATAATAAAAGAGGCCCATAAAGATATAGAGTTAAAACAGATGTAGAACTATATGTATACCATAATCCCCCCCTTTTTTTTGCACAGATGTATATTTAAGAACATATATGTACAAATGCAAACATTCACATATACATTTTGGTGGGAAATGTATGAATAGAGACATTTCAGAAACCTCAGAGACTGGAGGGAATTTTATTCCAGTTAGGGAAATGCTATCCTTTTTCAAAAGTCAGTGCATTCCTACGTTATTCAGTGTTTTATTTTAGTGTTTAAAGGTATTTGAAATGCCTTTTAAAATACTTTTTTTTTTGGTAAATAAAGAAAACTCTGTCATAGAAATATGGGCTTGAGATGACATGATGTTAGAATCCTATCTTCCACCCAGGCATGGTGGCTCACACCTGTAATCCTAGCACTTTGGGAGGCTGAGGCAGCTGGATTGCTTGAGCTCAGAAGTTTTGAGACCAGCCTGGGCAACATGGTGAAACCCCATCTCTACAAAAAAATGACAAAAATAGCCAGATGTGGTGGCATGTGCCTAAAGTTCTAGCTACTTGGGTAACTGAAGTGAGAGGATGCTTGAGCCCAGCAGGTCGAGGCTGCAGTGAGCCATGATCACACCACTGCACTCCAGTCTGGTTGACAGAGTGAGACCCTGTCAGAAAAAAATTCTATCTTCCTTGATCTTATCTTTTGATATTTGTTCTTATTCTCTTATTAGTTTACTTCTTCTTGTACTTCACATGGATGAGTGCCTCCTAATGTCTTAAAGTCATATTACATACTTTTTTCTTTGAGACAGAGCTTTGCTCTGTTGTCTATGATGAAATGCAGTAGTATGATTACAGGCTTAAATATGAAGTGATCCTCGCAGCTCAGCCTCCCAAGTAGCTGGAACTATAGGCACACACCACCATGCCTAGCCTTTTTTTTTTCTTTTTTTTTTTTTTTTTTTAAGAGACAGAGTCTCTTTCTGTTTCCCAGGCTGGTCTCGAACTCCTGGGCTGAAGCAATCCTCCTGCCTTGGCCTCCCAAAGTGCTGGGACAATAGGTGTGAGCTACCATATTTGGTCCACCTTACTTACTTTTAACAGCTTCTTTTCTCTACTTCTTCACTTGCATTCATATCAGCTCTCTAGGTGGCAGAATCACATTTTAAGATAATCCAGAACTCCTGTGCCTAGTATATATTATTTTTTCCTCCCATTCTCACTGTGGTAATTAATTTTTAAAGTTCAGAAAATATGGGTCATTTTTATTATTTTAATTTCTTTCAGACTTGGAGAGCAAAACAAAAACCAAAGAGTCATTCTTACCGAATGATATTTCATGGGAAGAATTACACTATGGCCTAATGATGGAAAGATCTACAAAAAGAATCACCTTATATTCCACCTTGGGAAGAATCTCCAACTGTAATAAGCTAGATAGCCAACAAGAGAACCAAAGAATGGGTGAGGGGAAAATCCCCCTGATGAGCAAGAAAAGGTTTTCTCAGGAGAGAGGCCGAGAATCTAACAGATTTGAGAAAAGGATTAACATGAAGTCAGAAGTTATGCCAGGATCAATAGGTCTTCCAAGAAAAAGAGATCATAAATATAACACATCTGGAAAGAGAAGCAGATACAACATAGATTTAGTTAATCATTCAAGGAGTTATACAAAAATGAAAACCTTTGAATGTAATATTTGTGAAAAAATCTTCAAACAGCTTATTCACCTTACTGAACACATGAGAATTCATACTGGGGAGAAACCTTTCAGATGTAAGGAATGTGGAAAAGCCTTTAGCCAGAGTTCATCTCTTATTCCACATCAGAGAATTCATACTGGTGAGAAACCCTATGAATGTAAGGAATGTGGGAAAACCTTCAGACATCCTTCATCTCTTACTCAACATGTTAGAATTCATACTGGGGAGAAGCCCTATGAATGTAGGGTATGTGAGAAAACCTTCAGCCAGAGCATTGGACTGATCCAGCATTTGAGAACTCATGTTAGAGAGAAACCTTTTACATGCAAAGACTGTGGAAAAGCATTTTTCCAGATTAGACACCTTAGGCAACATGAGATTATTCATACTGGTGTGAAACCCTATATTTGTAATGTATGTAGTAAAACCTTCAGCCATAGCACATACCTAACTCAACACCAGAGAACTCATACTGGAGAAAGACCATATAAATGTAAAGAATGTGGGAAAGCCTTTAGCCAGAGAATACATCTTTCTATCCATCAGAGAGTTCATACTGGAGTAAAACCTTATGAATGCAGTCATTGTGGGAAAGCCTTTAGGCATGATTCTTCCTTTGCTAAACATCAGAGAATTCATACTGGAGAAAAACCTTATGATTGTAATGAGTGTGGAAAAGCCTTCAGCTGTAGTTCATCACTTATTAGACACTGCAAAACACATTTAAGAAATACCTTCAGTGATGTTGTGTGAAATATACTTAACATCAAAGAACCTTTGTTGGAGCAAAAGATTCTAAATCAGTGGTTCACTGATTTTTGGATTTCCAAAAACATTAAAAAAATGGTTTGGCACAATATTACCAACTATTAATTTTGCCATATTAAAAACAACCACCTATTATCAGCATTATTTCAGAAAAGAAAGGACTTTTTAATATTTTTAAAGGTAGGAAACAGTTCCTCCCCCTCCCTTTTTTAAAAGACCGTTTCACTCTTGCCCAGGCTGGAGTGCAGTGATGTAATCATAATTCACTGCAGCCTCAAACTCCTAGGCTCAAGCAGTCTTCCTGCCTCAGCTTTCCAAGTAGCTAGGACTACAGATGTGTACCACTATGCCTGGCTAATTTATTATGATTATTTTGTAGAGACAGTCTCACTGTGTTGCTAGGCTGGTCTCAAACTCCCAGCCCCAAGCAGTTTTCCCATCTCAGTCTCCCAATATGCTGCGATTACAGACATGAGCCACCATGTTTGGCCAGGAGCAGCACTTTATATTACGTCAGCTTTATGTCAAATTCCCACATTTGTCTTTACTTTTCTCAGTTCACTATGTGCCAGTGAAAATTTCATAGCATGTTAGTGATATGTGGATTGACTTTCAAGAAACACTTTTAAATATCCCTTTAATAAATCAGAATAAAATATAGTACAGCCTTTTACTATAGCCCTTTTTATGGCTAGAAGATGTAGAAATTAAATATTGATTATCTCATTTCTAGAAGAATAAAGGGAGATTTCTAGAATTGATAGATAACTTACTGTACATGAGATAATTATATTTAATGGTTTTCTATAGAGCAAGAATTTGCAAAGTTTCTGTAAAGGGCCAAATAGTAAATATGTTAGGTGTGGTGGTCCATGTGGTCCCTGTCACAACTATTTGACTTTCCCATTTTAGTAAAGAAATAGCCAGAGACAATATATAAAATAGAATATCTGAACCTTGGCACTGCCAATATTTTGGACTGGATAATACTTTGCTATAGGAAGCTGTCCTGTGCATCCTGAGATGTGTAGGGTCATCCTTGGCTTCTACCCACAAGATGCCAGCATTCAATGCTGATAGCTGCCCCTCCCCCAGTGTGACAGCCAAAAATGTCTCCAGACATTGCCAGGTATACCTGGAGGCCAAAGTTGCCCCTGGTTGAGAACCAGTGATGAAGATGTGCAATAGTGGTTCCCATAAACTGCATTTAAAAAACAGCTGTTAGGTTTCGTTTGGCCCAAGGGCTGTCATTTTTCACTCTCCCACCAATAGTATGTAAAATTATTAAAAATGACAACAGACTAACATTTAGGGTCAGATTAGTATGTGTATATGCTATAAATTCCTTAGCAACTCCTTTAGTATTTTGTTGAAATAATTATTTAAACATTACATTTGTAATGCTGTCTTGGAGCCTAGGAATTATTTTTGAAGATATTTATGCAGACTTCCATCTATAATGATGGATTTTTTTATTGTTGTTAATCCATAAATATTTTGAATGTATCTAAAAACATCTTTGAAAACATAACCACAATGCCATTGTTATACCTATACAAATTAACCACAATTCCTTAAAACATAATGATGCCTTTTTGAAGAGAGATTTATTGACAAATCATTCTGAGGAGAAACCTTTCAGATAACTTTATTTTAAGTTTTCCTTTGGCAAGCATACAATATTAGATTTGAAATGTGCTTTATATCAAGTGGAAATGTCTCTTAAGATAGCCCCTAGAACAACACATCAAGAGGCCCATCAAAGAGGACCAGAGAAAGGTGACTGCCAGAGACATACTCAGACAGCGAAATATGGGAAGTGGAGGAATTGACTCCTAATGCTTCACTATACTTAATGAAATAGATAGTTCATCCTTACAGACATAATTGGAAGTAAGTGAAGTTTAACTTTTTACTGTTTTATGTGGAGATAGAACAAACAGTTCAGTCACCCGAGTATTGTCAATGTGAGCTATCTAAAGCTGTAAATCCAGAATATATACCAGTATCTCTAGAATTTTTTCTGTTACTACATTTACTTAAAAAAAGCTGGCCTCCAACTCTTAAGTCCTGCATAACACTGATGGGCAGAAAAAGAGTGGGGATATACACTGTTGGTTAAAATTGTTCTACCATGTTTCTGTGGTCTTAGATTTCCCAAGAATTTGAATTTCTCCAGTTGCTTCTTTCCCTGAAAGATATGACTATGACTTTTCTCTATAGCTCCTGCCTCAATGATCTCATACAGTCTTTGGCTTAAAATACCATCTGTGTTTAACAACTGCCAGATTTGCATCTCTAGCCAGGACCTCTCCCAAACTCCAGCCTTGTTCTAACCTTTGGGCCATTTCACTGGCTGTTGCAGATGTCCTATACCCTTACCTTCTCCTCCTTGCTCAATTGTTGCCTTCTTACTGAAGCCTCTCCTGTCCACACTGTTTAATACTGCAGATACTTTCCAGATTGAGAAATCCATACCCCCTTCACCTGCTCTATGTTTTTTGTTTCATATATCACCTTCTAACACCCTAGATACTTTACATGTTTGAGTTTATTGTTTACTGTTGTTTCCCCCTGCTATAATGTAAGCTCCATGGGGGCAGAGGTCTTGTTCACTGATGTATCACAAGTGCCTAAAACAGTGCCTGGCACACAGAAGGGACTCAGTAAATATGTATTGTTTTGAATTGAACTGAATTGAACTATGAATCCATGATGAAAATAAAGAAATGCAATCCATATACTTTCCTACCTACATTTTACATGTGAGGAAATCTTATTTTTTGTTTCCTTTTCCTTTTCTTTGCAAGTTGACAAATATTTATATACCTCTGAGAACCATAACCCACATAGTTTAAGATAAAAGAGTATTTCTATGTTAATTTGTTTTGGTTGTTTTTGTTTGTTTGTTTGTTTGTTGAGACAGGGTCTTACTCTGTTGCCCAGGCTGGAGTGCAGTGGCATGATCATGGCTCACTGCAGCCTCAACCTCCTGGGCTCAAGTGATCTCCCACTTCAACCTCCTGAGTAGCTGAGACTACAGGCACATACCACTACACCTGGCTAATTTTTTAATTTTTTGTAGGTTGGGGTTTTGCCATGTTTCCCAGGCTGTTCTCAAACTCCTGAGCTCAGGCAATCACCTGCATCAGCCTCCAAAAGTTCTGGAATTACAAGCGTGAGCCACTGTGCCCAGCCTAATTTGTTTAAAATGCATTTAAATATGGCTGAGTAACAATATGAGTTTATCTTCATTTCATGAACCTGAGTGCATAAGCAAAATAGAGCGTATAAAAGATAATAGAGGAGAATATAGAAACAGACATGAGATGCCGACAAGTTTTTGGTAGGGAGAAAATAGAAGAGTGGTTACTGACTTAGCAGAGTCTGCAGAAAAGTGTACTGGCACAAGGATGTTCCTGGGAAGACAGAGGCCTTGGAAACAGTGGGCATTATGGAAGAATGAGGGGTGAAAATGGGGATTCATTGAAATTCTAAAGTCAGATCCTTAGACCCCCCTCACCTACCTGTACAGCTGACTATTATGCACACATTCCTCCTTCATGCCTTTCTTCATCCTATTACCCTTTCCTCATTCCCAAGGAGACTAGAGGTTTATTCTCTGGTGAAGGAACAGTCTCCCAATGTGCTGAGATTACAGACATGAGCCACCATGTCTAGTCAGGAACATCCCTTTATATTATATCAACTTGATGACACACTCCTAAATTTGTTTTTACTTTTCTCACTTAACTATGTGCCAGTAAAATATTTCATGGCATGTTAGTGATCTGTGAATTGACTTTGGTGTCCCTGATTCCAGAGCTGTTCTAGAATCAGGGACACCAGACAATAGAGACAGGTAAAAATATGGCTGAAATGGGAACTGATGTAAGGCAGCATATTGAACTGTTGAAGGGTGCCCTCAGCACCCTTTTCTAGTGAAAGCCAGGTTTTCATGCCTTCAACCATCTTCCAGCCAACCTCAGCAGGAGATTGGAGGAATCCTCTAGAGAAACTGGTTGGCAGGCTGGGCATGGTGGCTCATGCCTGTAATCCTAGCATTTTGGGAGGCTGAGGCTGGTAGATTTTCTCAGCTCAGAAATTCAAGACCAGCCTGGGCAACATGGTAAAACCCCATCTCTACCACAAACACAAAAATTTAACTAGGCATGGTGGCATGCACCTGTGGTCCCAGCTACTCAGGAGGCTGAGGTAGGAGGATTGTTTGAGCCTGGAAGGCAGAGGTTGCAGTGAGCCAAGATTGCTTTACTGCACTTCAACCTAGATGACAGAGTGAGACTCCATCTCTAAAAAAATAAAAAGACAAAGAAAAAGAAACCGGATGGCTCCAAAGAAAAGGAACTGACATTTGTGAATATTTCAGGGAAACATCAAGGCCAATTTATTATATTAGTCTGCTTTCACACTGCTATAAAGAAATACTCAAGACTGGGTAATTTATAAAGGAAAGAGGTTTCATTGACTCACAGTTACACATGCCTGGGGACGTCTCAGGAAACTTGCAATCATGGCAGAAGGAGAAGGAGAAGCAGATTCTTCAAAAAGTGGCAGGAGAGAGAAAAGTGAAGGAGGGACTTCCAAACACATAAAACCATCAGATCTCATGGGAACTTACTTCCACAGGAACAGCATGGGGGAAACTGCCCCTGTGATCCAATCACCTTTCTCCCTTGACACATGGGGATTATAAACTGAGATGAGATTTGGGTGGGGACACTGAGCCAAGCCATATCAATGGCCTAAACACCCTGCATGTAAAGACCAAGCTTCCAGTCTCCATAAAGAGAAGAAGAAATGAAAGGTAGGAAATACATATACATAAGACAGTTTTTCAGAATCAAAGGACACAAATCTTAGATTAAAAGGGTCCTCTGTCTGCCCAGCACAGTGGTTACCAGTAGCTAACACTTATCATTAATTTACAATGTGCCAGACACTGTTCTAAGTGCTTTATACATGTCAACTAATTTAATTCTCAAAATCCTCTGAAGTGAGTGCTAATATTATTCCCATTTCACAGATGAGGAGATAGAGACATATATAAGTTAAGCAAATAAGGACACCCAAGTAGTAAATGGCAGATCTGGGATATGAATCCAGGCAATCTGATTCCCAAAAGAACCCACATCAAGGAACATAATTATGAAGTACTAAATACACAGAGAAAAGGCTTCTGGGCCAAGATGATAGGTCATTTGCCTTTATGTGAAGCAGAAAAAGCTTTAGACTTCTCACAGCAATAATCAAGCAATGTCTTCAAAATGTTGAGAAAATGGGCAGGGCACAGTAACTCATGCCTGTAATCCCAACACTGGGAGGCCGAGGCAGGAAGATCATTTGAGGGCAGGAGTTTGAGACCAGCCTGAGAAACACATTGAGATCCTGTCTCTACAAAAAATAGAAAAATTGTCTGGCTGTGGTGGCATGTGCCTGTCATCCTAGCTGCTCTGGAGGCTGACGCAGGAGGATGGCTTGATCCCAGGCATTTGAGGCTGCAGTGAACCATGGTCACACCACTGCACTCTAGCCTGGGCAACAGAGTGAAACCCTGTCTCTTAAAAAAAAGGATTTCTTGAGAAAATGACTTTCAGCCTAGAGTTCTAGGCCCAGCTAACTACCAATCAAGTGTGAGGGCAAAATAAAGACATTCGATAGGCCAGATGTCAAAATGTACCTTCTCTGCACCTTTCCTTAGAAAACTGCAGGAGGACGTCCTCTATCAAGACAAGGGAGTAAACAACAAAAAGAGAGGCAGTCGGGCTGGGCGCGGTGGCTCACGCCTGTAATCCCAGCACTTTGGGAGGCCGAGGCAGGTGGATCACGAGGTCAAGAGATCGAGACCATCCTGGTCAACATGGTGAAACCCCGTCTCTACTAAAAATACAAAAAACTAGCTGGGCACGGTGGTGTGTGCCTGTAATCCCAGCTACTCAGGAGGCTGAGGCAGGAGAATTGCCTGAACCCAGGAGGCGGAGGTTGCAGTGAGCCGAGATCGCGCCACTGCACTCCAGCCTGGGTAACAAGAGCGAAACTCCTTCTCACACACACACACACACACACAAAAAAAAAAAAAAAAAAAAGAGAGAGAGCAGTCAAAGGATCCAGAGAACAAGTGATTCTAACCAGGAGGGCAGAAAATAGATTCAATTTCTATACTCATGAAGTGAAATAATTAATACTTAGTATCTGGGATTCACATAAAAATATTCCTAAGATAGACACTTATTTTAATTTCTTTCCAGTTTTATTTGTGTGTCATTCAATTTTTACATTTTAAAATATTTAACTTATCACTTCATACAGAATTTTTTTTCATCTATCAAATTTTAGAGTATCTTCGTGTTTCATTTTCTCAGAATATTTTTCTGACTTTTCTGGATGTTAGCATAACTGATAAGGTTATTTCCTATATTCTGAGTTAGTGTCTTTGCATCCAATGCAATTGAAGATCTAAACATTCCTTTTCTTTTCTTTTCCCTCTCTCGTTCTCTCTTTTGTTTTCTTTTTCTTTTTTTTTAAGAGAGAGTTTTGCTCTTGTCACCCAGGCTGGAATGCAATGGCATGATGTTGGCTCACTGCAACCTCTGCCTCCCAGGTTCAAGCAATTCTTCTGCTTCAGCCTCCCGAGTAGCTGGGATTACAGGAGCTGGGATTACGGGCACCCACCACCACGCCTGGATAATTTTTGTATTTTTAGTAGAGAAGGGGTTTCACCATGTTGGCCAGGCTGGTCTTGAACTGCTAACCTCAGGTGGTCCACCCACCTCAGCCTTCAAAAATGCTAGGATTACAGGTGCGAGCACTCAGCCTAAACATTTCTGCCTTCCAAATTTCTAATCAATTATCCAAAGACCCTGCATTTTATGTCATCCCTTCTTATTTGATTGTATATGTCAATATACTCTATATACATCTACATATATGACCTCCTTATTCAGAACTACATCATCCCTATGCAGTGGGATGGAGTTGTTTTTCACTCAATATTATTTGAGTGAAATAAATACTGTCTTCAGGTCTTAAGCATTTATAGCAGAGTGGTAAAGAGCTTGAGCTCATGAATCATTAAAAACTATACTCAAATCCCAGCTTGATCACACCCTATCTTTGTGATCTTAGTCAACTTACTTAATTTTTCTTAATCTTATTTTTCCATTTGTAAAGAGGCATTTATAATAGGCACTACAGCACAGGATTATTATACCAGGCATAGACAATGACTCAAAAATAAAAGCTACTAGTATTGTATTTTGTGTTTTTTACTTGTTATGAAAAAGTAGATGCTCAATTATGAAAGCACAGAGATATGTAAAGAAAACAAACATAACAGAACCTAGATATTAGCCACTGTTAAAACTCGGATGCAAAAAGACAAATACTGTATGATTCTACTTATATGAGGTACTTGGGTAGTCACACTAGTAGAGACAGAAAGTAGCATGGTGGCTGAGGGAAGAGGAAAAAGAATTGTTGTTTAATGGGTATAAAGCTTTGTATTTGCAAGATGAAATTCTAGAGATCTGTTTCACAATAATGTGAACATACTGAACACTACTAAACTGTACACTTAAAAATGATTAAGGCGGTAAGTTTTATGTTATGTGATTTTTACCACAATAAAAAAAAATTCGGAGTGTGTATTTCTTTCCAGCAGACACATTTTAGTACCTAGTTCTAAAAATTTCTTCAAACTCACTTGTGCTAATGCCATATCATCTCTTCACCAACCTTTACCAATCACATCCTCCTTTTCCTACCCAACTTTTGGTCATGATTTTGCAATCACCCTCAACTCCATATATGTATGTTGCTAAGACTCAAATTTATATTTCCAGTCCCAGATCCTGTCTGCACTTCAGACTCCTAGTGCATACTTGATTCTTGGATATGTACTAGGCATCTCAAATTTAATAGATCCATTTCTGAACCTGCTCTATCCCCTGTATTTCCTGCCTCAGTAAATGGGAACGTTCCGTTGCCCAAGCTGAAATTCCCAGAACCATCCTTGACTCATCTTTCTTTAACACTCTTCATTCAACTCATCAGAAAATTCTGTGAGTTGAATCTTCGAAATAGATCTTTTCTCATCATCTCCACTGCTACCACTTAGTCCAGTTCACTATTCTCTCACTTGGCTTCCTGAACACTCGCACCGCCCCACAGTTTATCATCCTCCAGATAGCAGCCAAATGACTATTAAAATATAATTCAGATTACTCTGTTTCTCAGTTCTAAAATCTTCAAAGTCTTCCCACTTCTCTCAGAATAGATCCAACATTCGTACCATGGTTTGCCTCAAGGAATCCTAAATTTCTTGACAGTCCATGAATATGCCCTCACATGCTTTCACCTCGGGGCCTTTTTCTTCTGCTAAAATGCTTGCTTTCTCCAGGTATCAATAGGGTCCATTTCCTGATTTCTTTTAGTTCTCTGTTCAAATTGCATCTTATCAGATGGATGTTCCTTGATTACTTTCTATAAAACAGCTCCCACTTCCTATATTCTTTTGGATTAATTATATTTTATTATTCCTTTCCCCCTCTTTGCTAATCTGAAGTTGCATGCTCTGCTTCTGTTCTTTTAGTTCTGAAAGATACAACATGCATTTTTTAAAAACCTTTATTAAATTACAATATTCATACAGAAAATTACATGTGCAGAGAGATAACTATCTTGATGAATCCTCAAAATTAAACATACCTGTGTAACCAGCTCATGGATTAAGAACAGAAATTATAGCATTCCAGAAGCTACCAGAGTCCCCCACAACTTCCAGTCACTACCCTTCAAAGGGTTACTTCTAATACGATAGATTAATTTCACCTGTTTTTGTACTTTTAAATACTGGAATCACACTGTGTGTATTCTTTTGTGTCTGGCTTCTTTTTCTCAAAACTAAGTGAGCTTCATCAATATTGTTGATTATTTTCATTGCTGTGTATACTTGATTATATGACTATACCAATATTTACCCATTCTAGTGTTGATGGGCTGCTATGAACATTCTAGTATATGTCTTTTAGGGAACACATTTATGCATATCTGTTGAGTATATACCCAGGGGCAGGATTGCTGGGTCACAATATTCAGCTTCAGTAGATACTGCCAAATACTTTCCCAAAATAGTTCTATCAATATATACTCACCAGCAGTATCTGAAAAATCTAGTCCTTAATTTTAATCTATGTTAATGTATCACTTTTTCTTTATGTTTAGTACTTTGTATAATAAGTCTGTGCCTATATTCGGGTTGTAAAAATATTCTCTGATTTTCTTCTATAAAGTTTTATTATTTTATTTAGATCTCCAATCCATTTGGAATGATTTTTGTGTATGTTGTAAACCAAAAGTTAATATCAATATCCAATTGACCCAGCACCAATTTATTAAAAATACTTTCCTTTCCCCACCCCTGTCATTATAAGGTGGTGGTCTATGTGTGTGTCTGTTGATCTGTTCTTATACCATAGCTACCTCATTGTCTTAGTTACTATAATTTTATAATAAGTCTTCATATTCAGTGATATGCCTTCCAGCTAAAAATACATTAAAAAATTCCAGCCCAAAAAATGACTGGGCACAGTGGCTTATGCCTGTAATCCGGGCACTTTGTGAGCCCAAGTCAGGCAGATCACTTGAGGCCAGGAGTCCAAGACCAGCCCGGCCAACATGACAAAACCTGTCTCCACTAAAAACACAAAAATTAGCTGGGCATGGTGTTGCACGCCTGTAATCTCAGCTATTCATGAGGCTGAGGCATGAGAATCTCTTGAACACAGGAGGCGGAGGTTGCAGTGAGCCAAGATGGCACCACTGCACTCCAGCCTGGGCAACAGAGAGAGACTCTGTCACACACACACAAAAAAAAATGTGTGTGTGTGTGTGTGTGTGTGCATACATGCATACATTTTCTTGTTGAAATTTGATGTTAATAAATACCAGCTGGGCATGGTGGCTCATGCCTGTAATCCCAGCTCTTTGGGAGGCCGAGGCAGGCAGATCACCTGAAGTCTGGAGTTTGAGCCCAGCCTAACCGACATGGAGAAACCCTGCCTCTACTAAAATTACAAAATTAGCCAGGCATGGTGGTGCATGCCTGTAATCTCAGCTACTCAGGAGGCTGAGGCAGGAGAAAGGCTTGAACTCAGGAGGTGGAGGTTGCAGCGAGCCAAGATCGCACCATTGCACTCCAGCCTGGGCAACAAGAGCGAAACTCTGTCTCAAAAATAAATAAATAAAAACAAATAAATACCTCTATCCCTATTCAAGTTAGTCCTTAGAACACTAACTCCAATCACCCCCTTCCTAATCTATATGCTATTATTCTTGGGTATTTTAATTCTTTTTTTAAAACATATACTCAATATGCTATATTTATTTTTTTAAACCTCATGGATTATTGAGATTTTTAGTCTATTATTTATGCTCATTTAGATTTAGTCATATGTTTTTAACTTTGTCCTTTTTTCCTCTTTGCATTTTAAAAAATTTTTGTTTTTCGATTAATTTTTCTTTGGTAGAGTTAGGGTATCATTTTGCTGTTCACGTTGGTCTTGAACACCTGGCTTCAAGTGATCCTCCCTCCTCAGCCTCCCAAAGTGGTAGGATTACAGGTATGAGCCACCATGCCCAGCTGTCTTTGTATCTTTGCATCTGGAATCATTTTCTTTCTCTTTCTTCCTTCCTTCCTTCCTTTCCTTTTTTTTTTTTTTTTTTTTTTTTTTGCAGAGTCTCACTCTGTTGTCCAGGCTGAAGTGTAGTGGTGTGATCTTGGCTCAATGCAACCTCTGCCTCCCAGGTTCAAGCAATTCTCATGCCTCAGCCTTTGGAGTAGCTGGGATTACAGGTGTGCACCACCACACCTGGCTAATTTTTGTGTTTTAGTAGAGAAGGGGTTTCAGCATGGTGGCCAGGCTTGTCTCTAACTCCTGGCCTCAAGTGATCCTCCTGCTTCAGCCTCCCAAATTGTTGGGATTACAGGCATGAGCCACTGTGCCCAATCTGGAATCATTTTCTTTTTGCCCAAAGTTCAAACTTGAGAATTTCCTTTAATGTAGCCTGCTGGTAGTAAATAAATTCTCGTTTTTGTCTGAAAATGTCTTCATTTCATCTTTATTCTTTTTCTTTTTGAAACAGCGTCTTACTCTGTTGCTTAGGCTAGAGTGCAGTGGCAAAATCATGGCTCACTGCAGCCTCAACTTTCCAGGTTCAAGTCATCCTCTTACCTCACCAAGCCAAGTAGATGGGACTACAGACATGTGTCACCACGTCCAGCTAATTTTTAAATTTTTGTAGAGATGGGATCTCACTATGTTGCCAGTGCTAGTCTCAAATTCCTGAGCTCAAGTGATCCACCCTCCTCGGCCTCCAAAATATTGGGATTATAGGTGTGAGCCAATGTGCCAAGCCATCTTTTTTCTTAAAAATTTTTTTTTGGCCGGGCGCCGTGGCTCACGCCTGTAATCCCAGCACTTTGGGAGGCGAGGTGGGTGGATCACGAGATCAAGAGATCGAGACCATCCTGGTCAACATGGTGAAACCCCATCTCTACAAAAAAATACAAAAACTTAGCTGGGCATGGTGGCACGTGCCTGTAATCCCAGCTACTCGGGAGGCTGAGGCAGGAGAATTGCCTGAACCCAGGAGGCGGAGGTTGCGGTGAGCCGAGATCGCGCCACTGCACTCCAGCCTGGGTAACAAGAGCGAAACTCCATCTCAAAAAAGAAAAAAAAAAGAATTTTTTCTTTATACTGTGCAATTGAATTCTGGATTGTTGGTTATTTCCTCACAACACTTTGAAGATTTCATCCCACTATCTTCTGGATTCCATTAATACTAATGATGTTAGCTGCCACAATGTCACCTGAGTTAGTTATCAATTGTGGTGCCATTCATTGTATTACTTACGAATTGCTGCATAACAAATAACCCCAAAACTTAATGGCTTAATAAAACAAACATTTTTTAATCTCACTAAAACAATTTGTAGTTTTACTATACTGTGTGGATTTCTTTTACTAGAACTTTTTCAGGGATCAAAAATTCAGAAGCTGCTTAAATGAGGGGTTCTGGGTAAAGGATGTAGTCAAGATTAATTGCAATCAAGATGCTGGCTGAGGGTGAAATCATCTGAATGCTACCTGAAGAAACAGGATATGCTTCCAAGATGGCTCACTCACATGGCTGGTAAGTTCATCCCGGTTGCTCAGATGATTTTCTTCAGAGCAAGCAATCAAGAGTGTGCAGGGCAGAAGGAGCAATGTCTTTCATGACTTAGCTTTGGAAATCATACACCATCACTTCATTTCCACCACATTCTATTTTTTTTCTTTTTTCTTTTTTTGTTGTTTGTTGTGTTTTGTTTCGTTTTTTGAAACAGAGTCTTACTCTGTCACCCACGCTGGAGTGCAGTGGTACGATCGTGGCTCATTGCAACCTCTGCCTCCCATGTTCAAATGATTTGCTTGCCTCAGCTTCCTGAGTAGCTGGGACTACAGGTGCGTGTCACCATGTCAGGTTAATTTTTGTATTTTTAGTAGAGACAGAGTTTCACCATCTTGGCCAGGCTGGTCCTGAACTTCTGACCTCGTGATCCACCCACCTCGGCCTCCCAAAGTGACAGGATTACAGGCATGAGCCACCGTACCCAGTCCATTTTGTTCTGTAGAAGTGAGTCTGTCTCACATTTGAGAGAGTCTCCACCTATTGAAAGGAGGAGTGGGCATATTTACAAACCACCACAGCCACACTTGCCATTTTCTCTTTGCCTTTAGTGTTTTTGAGACTGAGCAGGGACTCCTTCTTAGGGGTCTGGGAGACCCCCAAGCATGGAAATAAAGGAAAATATTTAATTTTTCAAAGGAAATTCCAGGCACCTAGCTATCCCTGAAAAGTAAATAAGTAACTTGTTAAACAGTAAGGTAATAGCAGTCTAAAACCATAGCCAAGGAAGTTAAGAGTCCAAAGATGTTTGGTTTCCCTATAGAAACCAAAGACGACATCCTAACATATGTCTCTGAGTTGTTTTTCAGAAACCCAGACCCTACCACTGAGGATCCCTCACTGAACAGATCTGCTGGCAAGTGGATCTAAATTTGTCCTGGAGGGAGTGACAGCCCCGAACCCATAAACATTTTTCTCTGCTGATCCCAAATTTTAAGACACAGTCTCTCTTCCTTAACCAACTGAAAATCAGAAAATCTCCAAATCTACCTATTACCTATAAGCCACCCCCATCCCACGTGCCACCCCCCTTCAAGATATCCCACCCTTTGAGGCCAAAACTAAAGTGTAATCTCCATGTATTGATTTACAGTTTTGCCTGCAGCTTCTGCGTTCCTGAAGTTTACCCTGCCTTTAAAAACCCTTACCTGCCAGCCATGGAGGAAGTCAGAATCGATCATTAGCTGCTTGGTCCTCCTTGCTTGGTGCCCTGCAAACAAATGCCTTCCTTTCTACACTGCAACCTCAGTGTGGATATCTTTTACTGCACCAGGCAAGTGGATCCCAGTTTGGTTCTATAAGAATTTGTAGTTTTACTATAATGCTTGAATTTCTTCTACTAGGTGTGGATTTCTTTGACTAAACAAAAGGGTTTCTTTTATTTATCCCATGAGAGAGTTATATGATGTCTTATATCTGTGATCTGGTTGCTTTCATGGGTACTAAAAATATTCAGCCCTTATCTCTTCAAATACTGTCTCTGCCCCAGCTTTATCTCCTGTTAAACTTAGTTCGATCCTCTTCCTGTATTCTCTATCTTTCTTACTCTGTCTTCTGTAGAGTACATTTTTTGTTTCTCAGTGCTTTATTCTAGATAATTTCTTGTGACCTACCTTCCTTTCAATTTATTCTCCATTCAGCAGTCTAATCTGCCATTAACTGAGTTCTTAATTTAGTTACCGTATTTCTCAGTTATAGACGTCTATTGACTTTTTTAAATCTGCTCTATCGCTTTGTATAGTTTTTAGATACCTGCCAAAATTGTCCAAGTTATCTTTTTTATTTCTTTGAGCAAAGAAAATATTATTTTACTTTTTCCCCTAAAAACTCTTAATAAACAAGAAAATACATATATATTTTAAGCCAGGATCTTGCTCTGTCACCCAGGCTGAAGTGCAATGGTATGATCATGGCTCACTGCAGCATCAACCTACTGGGCTCAAGTGATCCTCCCACCTCTGCCTCTTGAGGAGCTGGGACTTCAGGCCTGAGCCACCATCCCTGGCTAATTTTTGATATTTTGTACAGA